AAACAAAGTAGTTTCGCTTTCACAATGAAAAACACAGCGGCCTAGCGTGAGCTGAAGTACCGGCTTAGCGTGCGCTGAGGCCGGGATAGAGTGAGCTGAGGCGGCGGGGTCGAGAACGGCGTGATGCGACGAATGAGCGGCAACCACACGCTTTGTCCACGGTGAAAGTTGATGTATTCCCTCAGTGACCAGCACAGATCAGCTCTAGGCATGACGAAGCGGGTATCGTCCTCTTTTGGAAGACCAAACAAAGTAGTTTCGCTTTCACAACGAAGCACACAGCGCCTTCACGACATGGCTGCAGCGTCAGCAATACTACAGCGAGAATAAAAGTTACGACTTCTTTCTTTGCGTGAACATTTGGGCGGCGTTATGCAAATCTTCCCACATAGTGAGGTAGATATGTGGGGGCGTGTTAGAACGAGCCGTTTTAGGTAGGTGTGGCTGACTCTGAACTTTTATAAAGAATATCTCTTTGGATTTGAGACTTTAGTCTTTGCAACTTTACAGATCTTCTTTATGCGCCAAGAGCTTGTAACACTCCAAAGAGAGAAAAAAAATTGAAATCGCATCATATGACCCCTTTAACTATTTTGGGCTCAGAATTTGGCACATCGGACCGATTAAATAGAACTTCTGATGTGCTGCACTCATTTTGCACACTTTGCTTGTCACCAGATTTATTTTTGTTTTAAGGTTTATCCAATTGGCATGTTCATTTTTGAAGAAAATTTGTAAAATGACGTGCACCGATTTCTTAAAAGGCTCCATAAATTTCCCAAAACAGACAGAAGCTCCCACGGTCTTTTCTCACTGATGCTGCAGTATTTGGTTCTTCTGTCAGCAGTTACTTGACACCTTTCTAATCATCAAAGCATATGCTTACTAGACACTTCAGAAAACTCAAATGCATTGACTAAGTTCACCTCAAATATTTTATATAGTCCAATTGTGTGCACCTAAAAGTACTTAGCTGTAGCAAACTGTCTTGTCGTGCAAGTAGGTCTAGCAAGATCTCCTTCCCAGCCTGACATCTTTGGTTGTGTTTATGTGCCTGTGCATTTTGCAATGCATGTGCTGTGCTCTGTTGTTCTCAGTCTTGTGTTCATCTGTCATCATTAATATTGTAAGAGGAAGCAGGCTGCTGTGCAGTTGCCTGAGGATGTTAGTGTGTGTTTGTGGTTTATGCTTTTATGACATGTTCTGTGTTCAAGCAAGCAGAGCTCACGTCTACTCACCGCCAGTGTTGGGGAGTAACTAGTTATATGTAACGGCGTTACGTAATTTAATTACAAAATAAATGTAACTGTAATCAGTTACAGTTACTAAGAAAAAATGTGTAATTAAATTACAGTTACTTATGAAAATGTTAACGATTACAAAGGGGATTACATTTGAATATTTACACACATCCACATACAGATTTAATTGATTTTTTCATACAAATTTATTCAGTTCAATTACTTTA